CGCGTTTGCACGCCACAATATTTCAAATGGTACAGTCAGTAGTGCTGACTTGTGAGGAATAAAGCTATTAAATGCATAAATACATGGTGTAAAGTTGTGGAAAGTGTTCAAAAAGATAGGTGAGATGTCCATGTAGATCATTTTGTGTTTTCTGAGCCATTTTTCGTAGAACCAATCGGGTCCAAATGCAGTAGCGAAATCGAGCTGACAATGTTCTATAGCCCTGCGGCAGTTAATGAACGTGGGCTATAGTACTAGAGCTAAGTCCACAGGCACTTGAAGCGTTTCATCTGTAAACACATGCCGCCGCCATTGCATAGTCAACATATTCACAGGCACTGCTAAAACCGTCTTTTGGTACAATAATAATATATTGTTCTGAGTGATCAGGTTACCGTGCTCATGCCCATGTGAGTTGTAAGGTAGATCTGCATATGTGTATCTGTATGTATTATTGTATAACCCTTAGCCCACCACTGCCAGGCAGTGGCTACTGTACAGCTTGTCCAATGTCATAATGTCTGACAGTGACAGTGACAAGTCCTGCCAGAAATTTCAATGTAAACAGCAGCTATCGAGTCAACGTGGCTTGATTGTGTATTGCGTCAAGTGCTTGAATTTAAAATAGTGCTTCCCAGAATATGAAGGGTGTTGCTATCCCCCGGGCGTGGATGGACGGTCACGTGATGCAGTTGACGTATACTTCAAAACTTAACAGTAACCATAACCCTAACCCTAACTCCAACACTAACCCTAACACTAAATATCTATATATCGGATATCTATATATAGGGGCGTCATCCACAAAAGTTAATCTATGGTGTGGGGACAGATATCATGATGCAAAAACCCTAACCCTAACCCTGATCCTAACCCTAAACCTAACACTAGTGCTGCAACGTTGCGGTACTGTCTCTCCACGCCCGGGGGATAGAATTTCCCGAATATGAACCTAACCCTACACTTCACTATCACACCTTTAGAAGATTGTCACTGAAGGTTGTAACTGCCTTGGCCTTGGACAGTGCTGCTACATTCATCTTTGAATTGATGCTAAAGTGGTATGGTATATCTTTCACCACATCCACAATACAACACTGTATTTATTTGAAATTAAAACTTGCCAAATACCTACCCTAACTTAACCCCGGGGCTCTATTTCCAATGAGTAACAATGTTTAAAAAAAAGTTTGTTCATCACTAAGTTAAAAAGTGTTTGTGTAATACATTCTGCAGGGACCACCTAGAAAAAAGGCCAAGTTGGATATTGATGAGACACAAGAAAATGCATCTGGTGAGAGACAGAAAGAGGTAGAAAGAAAGGGAGAGAGAGAGCGGGAGGGGTAGATTGAGAGAGAAAGGGGAGATAGCGGGGGAGATGGAGGTTCCATGGTTGGTATGTCTTATGGATCTGTTTGTGTAATTATTGAAGCATAGATTTGAGAAATTAATACTTGTTAACGTTTAAGCGTTAGTCATTGCATATAGAAACAAAATTGAATGTCTTTGGCAAGTCCACGCATTTGTGTCTGTCAATGATACGCTAAATTCCCCCCATGCTCTGCAGATTCTGGTATTACACTGGTTGAAAAGGAGAAAGTGACTGAAGCCATCCTCAGTAAATTTGGAGTGCGGATGCCTGATGATTTTTATCAATTCTGGGAGTTTTGCTCGGAGCTTGATGAAAAGAAACCAGCAGGTATCTTGTAATACTTGCGTGTGAAAGCTAGAATTACTATCCAGTTTATATAGAGTGCATTTTACCAATGTCTAGTCCTGAAGGCAAAAGCTTTGCATTGTGCTTCAGTAACATGGGTTAATATTAGCTAGTGTACAATACAGGGGTGTTCACATCATGTTCGATATATATTTTCAGTTTAATTTCGTATAAAACTTTAACATGACCTGACGGAATTGAGTATTTAACGCAGACTCACCAAGATATTTTTCATGGTTGAACGGACCTTTGTGAAGGAAGATGGAGAGAGACCGGGCTTGTTCATCTGGTTAGATTCTAATGTTATCATCCTTCTCGAATTTTAGATGCAATTTCCTCGATCGGTTTGACGTTAGTTGGCCCTTACGACGTACAATCGGGCTTGTTTGACGTGGAAAAGATAGATCGCGAGAGTTGCCTGACGCACTGGAGGTACTATTATGACCCACCCGAATTCCAAACCATCTTGAAGGGAGATGACACGTCAGGTTTCCATATTGGATATTTCCGGTAGGTGGTTGTTGAAATACATACCAGCATGAGAGCCTTTTTGAACAACTGTATACGTTTTAATTATTTTACATGTTTTAAACTTTTATTATATTTATTATATAGCTTACCATAAAATAGTTACACAAGCATGTATCCTCATATGTTATATGTTTCTTGTGAGTATACATATGTTAAAATGATAATAATGGATGATATGATGGCTTGTCGTTGTTTTGTGTGTGTCTCACTGATGCTTGTATTATTATTCTTACTTTTTATCACTTATTGATGCTATCAATTCAATACGTGACATGAGACGGCAAGAATTGATAGAAAAGCTACTCACTCTATTGTTTACGACTTACGGAATCCGATGAGAGAAAGCTCATCATCACAATGCTTAGATAGGAAATTTTATTTGATGGTAAATCAGCTTTAATCTTGTTGTTTTCCTCTAGAGATGAGCCCGACGCGTTGCCAGTGTTTGCCGCATCAAACAACGCTGTCCATGGCTGTAAGATATCGCCCGAGGGAGAAAATCTTTTCTCAGCTGTTAAGTATGTGGCTTTTATAATCTCACACGTGTTCAATCTCTACCAAAATCGTTTGCAATTTTGTACATATCAATTGAATGTATTTGGTGTCGAGTTTTGCTGGGGAGGTTAAATGCCATCAACACTCTGTGACAGTGTTTTTTTTTCCTTGTGCGTCAGACTTTACATAGGCCGAGAGAAAAAGACGACGAAAGATAAAACCCACAGAGCCAACTTGGAGAGAGTCGAGAAGGCTTTGTTGGACTGTGCCTCAAAGCACGGGATTCCTTTAGAGGCGAACACGAAGACCATGAAGTCTAGGTCTAAGCGAGTCGTCTGTAAGCTGTTCCATTGTTGCGGCCTTGTTGTTCCCGTGGACGACAATGAAGTAGGATACAGAGAGGTGCCAGAGACACCTGGTGAGCAATTTGTGTGAACACGTTTTTTTAGAGACCAAGTGCCAATGTAAACTACTGTTATTTTTCTAATAGGAGAGATGGTAGTTAATGCAAAATGTGTTATTTATTCAATTTCATCACATGGAAGTATAAATGTTTATGTGGTGTACTGGCCTGGTTGGTTTCATGCTGTGTAGACGACTAGTACGAAAGTAGCCACAGATCAAAGAAAGCTTTGTATAAGTTGTGGTAGTTTTTGGCCAGCAGGTGGTGCTGCGTTCTGCATGAAATCTACACTTTAACTACATGTAGCCGAAATGCTGTCACAGTTAACCCATATGTTATTTGGCAGCAGAGAAAAATGATAACAAAACAATATCGAAGTAAGAGTAAAGAAATGTTTTGTAAACGTATGTATAGTGCAGACAAAACAAAAGTAGTTTCTGATTGTCTATAGTCAAACTTGTGAGGTCCTTTTTTTTACTAAAAAGTGAACAACATACCCTATTAGGTTATTTTTTGAAAACAGCAATTATTTTTGTAACTATTTATTCTGCAGCATATCATTATATAAATTTGTACCCTATCTGCTCATTTATTTATCCAATTATTTATTTATTTACTCAATTAATGTCACTGTGCAGATTATAATAATTACAAGTACAAAAAAACTAATCTAGAGGAATTCATGTTCTATAGGAGCATTGAAAAAGATGTTTGCACGCATTGAGGCAGCTGAAACGGATGAAGAAAGGATGACGGCGTTTGACCCCATCCAAGAATTGATGACGCTCGTGCAGTTTGCCAATGATGAGTGTGACTACGGCATGGGCATCGAGCTTGGCCTTCACATGTTCTCATGTGGCTCCCTCTACCTCCACAAGACGATACTTAAACTTTTGCCTATGGGCTACCAGTTTATCGGGCGAGAACTATTCGGTGAGATTATCACAGCTCATCTCAAAAATCGGCGTAGCGGAAGTGAACTTAGCGCCATCTAGTGCCGATGGCTATGCATTGTAATCCAATATTAATTATGTAAATTATGCATACCTAATTATTGTCAGTTGTTTAAATTTATGACCTTTTCGTGTTTACAATTCATCAATACATGGCTATAACTGTACTATTTGTGTAAAGTAAATAAATGCTGTTATTTTAGGTATAAAATATCTCGCACGTAGGAAGTAGCATTTCTGTATCCCAGAATTGTATTTTTAGCTCATCTGACATAGTAAGATGCAGCTTGTAGAATCGCATGAGCGTGCGTGCGTCCGTCCGTGCGTCAACAGTTGGGCACAAATCTTAACACGCATAGCGTTCGGCTAACTTCGTCATGACGTCATGACTGACAGCAGGCATCCCATGATACATTCGATCTTGGAGTCGAAGTTAGCCGAACGCTATGCGCATTGGGAATCTGTACGTCACAGGTCAACAGAAATGGCGCTCGAAATATCGCCGCTCGTCACTTCAACATTTTGTAACAGGTTATAATAGTTTAATACAGAGTATTGTGATACATAGTAAGTCCCAGGATAGCAGAGAAAGGTTCATGTTTAGAATAAACCCAGTTTGGAAGTTTTAGTCTCGAAAAACACACCATAAAACTGCCCTGAGTGAATCACTCAGGGGCTCCTCCAAAGAAAAGAATAGGCTCACATTGTAACCCTACTCTTGTTGGGTTACATTATTGTATCTAGCAAAAACATAACAGAATAGCAAAAGGACTCGTTTGCCTTGACTGCAAGATGCCAGATCGTTTCAGTCATTGTAGTGCCGGCATTAGCAGGCATATATTGAGTCGAGTTCAAGTTTCAACCACCTTGCACATTGCCCATGTAGTCTTGGGCAGGTACGTCTCATTAAAAATGTTATTAAAAACCGGTTATAACCTCTGACAACGTGTACGACACAAATTGGCTCGAGTTAATGTCTGAGATGTGGTATAGGGTTCCAAATATTGAAATAAGCTGTTGTGGTGAACCTAGGCCTAGTGCTACTCGGCTAGACTAATGGCAGTAATGAATGTTTGTATTACTGAATACTGTACTTGGATATTAGCAGGAGTAGAATTTATCATCGGTGCCTGATATTGGTGTGACAGTACACACAGCTATATATAGAACATGGTTGTAGTCCATGCTTTATCCTAAATTCATGCCGTGGCTAAATAAAATAGCATTCAAACGCCGTATGTTATTGTTAGTAGACATTACGTCATTAAATTAGCAGTGATTATCTTGATTGTGCGATTTCTGTGAAGAGTTTAATGAATTTGCAATGCTGAAAATCATTGCATTAGAACGTAATCTGAATGTTATGTTACGTCTCTTTTACGGTAGGAACGCGTTAAACTCCGAACAGTGCAACGAGTGTAAGCGACGTTATGACCATCAAGCACTACGGCTTAAATTGGTAGTATAATCACACTTACCCATTTCTTTCTCAGCTGTTTATTCCTAAACCGCCGCCACTTGTTTGAGTAGAAAAGACAAAACAAATTCAGTTAGACACTGCCATCTATTGGTAGGTATTGTGGTATTACCAATAATACCCTAATAATATGTGCGTGGAAAAATCGAGTGTGAGCTTTTATCATGGCTTTTATAGTAGTTAGAAGAATGTGGAATGTCATGTAGAAAAACCCAAGATTATAAGTTCGATATATTAAAATGAAACGTTATCCGTTAGAAAACATTAAGTGACCTTAGTTTGTTTAGAATTTCTCCGCAAGGGGTGGCCACTTGATTTCCCGGCGGGAAATATGGCTGACGGTGAAGGATCCGGTGAAAATAATAAAAATGTTTGTAAATATGGTGCGAAATGTTATCAAAAAGGGGCCAGTCACCGGGAAAAGTTTTCACACCCATCAGTATTAGCTGATAAGAACGCAAAGGTCTTATATTTGTTATTTTTAATGATTATACTGTAACGACTGTTCTGACAGTCACACTGGTTCAACTTCAAGGATAGAGAACATGGGTTCCAATAAAACCAATGTAATTTTCATCAATATAAAGATAATATTATATCAATATAATAGGTTAGGGTTATGGTTAGGGTTAGGATTAGGGTTAGAGTTGGGGTTAGGCACATTGGTTTTATTGGGACCCATGTTCTCTATCCTTGGGCCGTCACACTCACAGTCACAGTCCACAGTAGACCGAATAATTCTGTCCCATATAACCTTTTTTATATTTTGGTGAGGGTTATATTGGGACAGAACGGAGTTCATTGAAATTTCGTGAGATTGCATGCAAAATGCATGCGCTGAGAATGCGGCTCGTACGCCGCTATTGGCGCGAAAAAAAAACCTACACGGTTCCCTTCTACATGGCTTTACCTTGCCTACTGATATGTGATATCACATTCCTCAATCGTTATTACTCTTTAAAAAGATTGTTTTTCATAACACACGCGCTTCAGTAAACCTTTCCTAAATCATACATCGGCATTTACAAAACAATCGACGCAGATTCATGAGCGAGTCTTACAAATAGCCCTGTTCTTGCTTGTATGCTGTGGCGGCTGCAGGAGGCCTGATAGACTCGCTGTGATTGGTCTGATTGTTTGATAAATGGTCGATGTAATTTTGGAAAGTTGTAACGAAGCGGTAGTTTTATGAAAACCACATCTTTTAAGAAGTGAATAACGCATTGAATGACATGTATAACATCATCAGTAGCAAGGTATAAAGCCATGTTACGAAGGGTAACGGTAGGTTTTTTTTCGCGCAATAGCGGCGGTACGGGCGCACGCATTCTCAGCGGCATGCATTTGCATGCGATCTCACGAAATTTCAATGACTCCGTTCTGCTCCCCAATATAACTTCACATATAAATATTCAGAATTATTTCGGGTCTAAGTCCGCACAGTAAACAACCGACCCAGC